ATGCACCCCTCTAACTGCAGTTTGGCCAAAGCTGGAAAATCAACCTCTGAAGTGCCTGTGAGGCTCAATGGGAATCTGTCCATGGAGTTGGCACTGAAACTCAGTGGGAAGCTACCCCCGGGGTGACACCAAAAGGTGGTGAGGATGAGTACAACTGCAACATTTCAGAAGACATTAGCCGGGCACAGTGTGCGCTGGCAGCCACGCAGCAGGAGCTGGAGGAGAAGGAATGCAGGCGGGCACCGGGAAGCCCCTTCCTCCTGTACCCTCTCCTGGCAGAGCTTCCCAGGGGTGGTCTCAAACTCCAAAGTGCTGGGATTACAAGGGTGAGCCACTGTGCCCAGCCAGCGTGTCATGTTTTTGGTTAAAAGACGCAACATTGAGGCATAGCGAGGGCGGTGGCAGTGCAGGCAGGGACTCCTCAAAAAAAAAAAAAAAAAAAAAAAAAAGACATTAGCCAGGCACGGTGGCTCATGCCTGTAATCTCAGCACTTCGGGAGGCCGAGGTGGGCAGATCACGAGGTCAGGAGATCGGGACCAGCCTGGCCAACATGGTGAAACCCCGTCTCTACTAAAATACAGAAAATTAGGCAGGCATCGTGGCAGGCACCTGTAGTCCCAGCTACTCAGGAGGCTGAGGCAGGGGAATCGCTTGATGTGCCTCATGGAGAGGCACTTTTGCCTCTTCCCTGTTTCAGGTGGTCTTTAATCTGGTCTGGATTAAAGTTCTGCCTCCTACCTCAAAATCAGAATACAGGTATTGATCGACTTATGACCAATGCAACTTACGACCATTCAACTTAACGACCACAATCGCTAGCCACGACCGCTCTGCGTCTGGCAGCACAAACATTGCCCAGCTGAGCGTATGACGGTGCGGACCAGTTTCTGGCAGCACTATCATCTCCACGTGCACCATTTCAACTGTTATCCCCGACTCGGTACAGCAATTTGTGTTTTGTGTCTTTGATATTTTTCATCAAACCCTTCGCAAGATGTCTACCAAGAGGAAATTGTCTTTATCTACGCCTCAGCCTGCCAAGAAGGAAAGAAAGGCCATCCATCTCGACATGAATATGAAGGTAATTAAGCAGTACGAAGGAGGAAAGAAAGTGAATGTGATCACACGTGATACGAAGTTATCACACTCAACTGTGTCGACGATTTTGAAAGATAAAGAATTCGTTGTCGGGCCGGGCGCGGTGGCTCAAGCCTGTAATCCCAGCGCTTTGGGAGGCCGAGGCGGGTGGATCACGAGGTCAAGAGATCGAGACCATCCTGGACAACGTGGTGAAACCCCGTCTCTACTAAAAATACAAAAAATCAGCTGGGCATGGTGGCACATGCCTGTAATTCCAGCTACTCAGGAGGCTGAGGCAGGAAAATTGCCTGAACCCAGGAGGCGGAGGTTGCGGTGAGCCGAGATCGCGCCATTGCACTCCAGCCTGGGTAACAAGAGCGAAACTCCGTCTCAAAAAAAAAAAAAGAATTCGTGAAGCTGTGAAAGGTTCTGCACCCATGCGATCAACAGTTATAACAAAGCAACGAAGTGGGCCCATCCACGAAATGGAGAAATTGCTATATACCTTTGGATGGAAGATAAAATTCAAAAATGGACACCATTAAGTCTTTTTACTGTGCAGATGAAGGTGAGAAGTCTATTTCAGACTCTGAAGGAGCGTGCTGGAGAAGATTACAGTCAAGAACTTGTAGCAAGCACTGGCTGGTTCCAGAGATTCAAGAAAAGATTCCAAATGCATAGTGTTCGAGTCACTGGAGAAGCAGCGAGTGCGATGAGGAAGCAGCACGTAAGTTTGCTGATAGTCTGGATGAATTAATTACAGATGAGGGATATCTAGCAGAACAGATTTTCAATGTTGATGAACTTACAAATGAAGAGCTAATCGAACTGGAAGAAGAAAGAGTTGCGGGAGAAGAAAGAAGAGAAGCAGAGAAAGAAGAGGAGGAGCCAGAAAGAAAGTTCATCACTAAGGGATTATCAGAAGGTTTATCTTCACTGAATAAACTTCTTATACATTTTGAAGCAATGAACCCAAACATCGAACGATTTGCAAGGATTGAACAGATGGCGCATGATGTGTTTCGTCCGTATCGTGAAATTTATGAAGAAATAAAGAAACATACAATTCAGACAAAGCTCACCATATTTATGAAAAAACGAACTCTGGTAACCTCAACTGCTGCCTCAGATGACGCCATCAATGATCCGCAGCCAAGCACCAGCGGCCAATAAAATGTTTCGTACATGTTTATATATTTTGATAATATTTGCAATTGGGAAAATGTTTCCTATGGTATTTTTTACATCTGTATTTTGTATTTTTGTATGCACCTGTATTTTGTAATTTTGTATGTTTTGCAAATATTAAACCAATTGTACTGGTAATGCAGTGTTTTACTTAAACCTGACGAATGTAAAAATACAGTAAGAAACAAAATGGTGTAGAGATGATACAAATGGCATAAAATGAACAAAGAAAATTATGATATATAACAATAATGAAAGAAAATTATGATAAAATGACTTAAAGATTTTTATAACATCATTTCACAGTACTGTACATACAGCCTACTCAACTTACGACCAAATCGTGTTACCACCGGTATGTCGGAACCAATCGTGGTCGTAAGTTGAGCACGAGCTGTACATCTTTTTTTTTTTTTTTTTTTTTGAGACGGAGTTTCGCTCTTGTTACCCAGGCTGGAGTGCGATGGCACGATCTCGGCTCACTGCAACCTCCGCCTCCTGGGTTCAGGCAATTCTCCTGCCTCAGCCTCCTAAGTAGCTGGGATTACAGGCACGCACCACTATGCCCAGCTAAATTTTTTTGTATTTTTAGTAGAGACGGGGTTTCACCATGTTGACCAGGATGGTCTCGATCTCTTGACCTTGTGATCCACCCGCCTCGGCCTCCCAAAGTGCTGGGATTACAGGCTTGAGCCACCGCGCCCGGCCAGCTGTACATCTTATAATAATGGCATGCAATAACCACGGGAAAAGAAAATGTTCAAGACCATTAGTAATCAGGCAAATGCACATTAAATAGCCAGGTGCAGTTAACTGCACTCTAGCCTGGGTGACAGGATGAGATCTCTTCTCTACAAAATAAATAAATTTTAAAAATCACGAGATATCATTACTCACTCACTGGACTGGCTAAAATAAAGACGCTTGGCAATACCAGTTGTTGGTAAGGATGTGGAGCAAACAAAACACTCACACACTGTTAGTAGGAATTTTTTTTTTTTTTTTCTTTTTTTTTGAGAGGGAGTTTCACTCTTGTTACCCAGGCTGGAGTGCAACGGCGGAATCTCGGCTCACCGCAACCTCCGCCTCCTGCGTTCAGGCAATTCTCCTGCCTCAGCCTCCTGAGTAGCTGGGATTACAGGAACGCGCCACCATGCCCAGCTAATATTTTGTATTTTTAGTAGAGACGGGGTTTCACCATGTTGACCAGGATGGTCTCAATCTCTTGACCTTGTGATCCACCCGCCTCGGCCTCCCAAAGTGCTGGGATTACAGGCTTGAGCCACCGCGCCCGGCAGTAGCAATGTTTTTAAATGTACGGCTGCTTTGGGGAAAGCTAAACCTATACCCAGACTATGCCTCAGCAATTTGGTTTCTATGCACGTCCAAGAGAAACGAAAAAAATGAGCCTGGGTAATGTAAGACTCCATCTCTCAAAAAAAAAATTGAAAAACATAATGGGGCATGGTGGCGTGTGCCGGTAATCCCAGCTACTTGGAAGGCTGAGGCAGGAGAATCACTTGAACCCAGGAGACAGAGGTTGCAGTGAGTCGAGACCGTCCCATTGCACACCAGCCTGGACAAGAGCAAAACTCTGTCTCAAACAAACACCAAAAACAAACAAAAAAACAACACGGCCATGTGCTGCTTAATGGTGAAGTTATGTCCTGAGAAATGGGTCACTGGGCGATTTCGTTGTGCGACAAACCTAGACGGGACAGCCTATCCCACACCCAGGCCACATGATCCGAACAACACGTGGTAATCTTTCATTTATTTATTTAGAGATGGAGTCTCCTTCTGTCACCCAGCCTTGAGTGCCATGGCGCCATCTCGTCTCACTGAAACCTTTCCCTCCTGGGTTCAAGCGATTCTTCTGCCTCGGCTTCCCGAGTAGCTGGGACTACAGGCGCATGCCACCACGCCCGGCTAATATTAGTATTTTTAGTAGAACGGAGTTTCACCATGTTGGTCAGGCTGGTGGTCTCGAACTCCTGACCTCGTGATCTGCAGCCCCACCTCCTCGGCTTCCCAAAGTGGTGGGATAACAGGCGTGAGCCACCGCGCCCAGCCAAAACGTAGTAATCTGAAGGGCCCAGCACAGTACATGCGACCCGCGTTCCGAGGAAACGCCACGAGGCCCACGACTCAAACGTTGTGCCTCATTAAGTTACCTACAGCCCCAAACTAGCCCTTCCACGCCGGGCCGCGAGGTGCAGAGGCAGAGGCGTTGTGGACCACAGCGGGCTCCAGGGGCCTCGCGAGGGAGGGAAGGGCTCGCTGCAGGTCCCAGCGATTCCCCCGGAAAGCTAAACTGCAGAGGCGCAGCGTGGACACCCAGGGTCAGACGCCATCTCAGGCCACGCTGGCCCCAGGGAAGCGGGCGGGGGTCCGCTGCGGTGCCTGGGCGCTCAGTGAAGACGCCATGCCGCCACGAAAACGCCCGCGACGCCGTTGCGCGGTGGGGCGAGGCGGGCAGGCCGGATCTGCGAAGCCCGACGAGCCCGGCACCGACTAGCTCCGGCCTTGCTCTGCCTCCCGGGTCTGGCCTCGAGGCTATGGCGAGCCGCGAGCCCTGGGGCCGCCCCAACTCTCTCGGGCCTCAGACCGGGAGGGGAGAGGAAGGCTCCCGAGCTGCGGCTTCCGCGGAAGTCCTCCAGCGGGCTCCGCCACTCTAGCCCGCGCGCGCCCTGCTCGCTAGTGCTCTGGGCCGCGGCCGGTCGCTGGCGCTTCTCCGGCGTTAGGGGGCGCGAGGCCGCGGCAGGGCCGCTCTGGGCCGCGGCGGCCGCTCGACTGCTCCGAGGCGCGGTCCCGACGCGCCCCGCCCCCACCCGCGTTCCCCGGGCAACCTGCGGCCGCCGACATGGACGCGCCGTTGGGCGCCGGGCCGCGGCGGGCTCGCACCAGCCTGGGCGCCGCCGGACCTGTGTCTTCGTGCCGCGCGGCGCGGACCCCGGCGGCACCCTGGGCGCGCTTCTCCGCCTGGCTGGAGTGCGTGTGCGTGGTCACCTTCGACCTGGAGCTGGGCCAGGCGCTGGAGGTGAGCGGGCGTGGGGGCGGGCGGGCAAGGCTGGGCCGCCCGGGGCTGGTCTCGCCTCGCTTGGAACCCGCGGCCGCCCCGCACTGTCCTCGGCCTTCGGCCACCGCCTCCTGGAGGGGCCTTTTCCCCGGGCTCCAGAAGTGTTCCCCAGGCCAAGGAGGGAAGGCGAGTCTCTCGGAGTGGGATCTTGTGTTCACATTGGGATGGAGGAGATAGGGACCCTGCACCTTGCCTAAGCTACATGGTACTCCTTCGGTTTTTCCCTGTAAATATCTCACAACTCTCCCCTCCATTCTCCACCGGAGCAATGACACCTTCATACTCTCAATGGCTCCCGCCAGAGTCCCGGGCTCACCCTCCGACCCGCATCCCATCCCTGAGCCTGGGCAAGGCTGACAGCTCCTTCTGCAACAAAGGTCTCGGATCCGTTTCATTGCTGCCATCGCTGATGTCATTCCCACTCCAGCTGCACCCTAGAATTCATCCTTATGGCTCTCTCTCCTGCTTAAAATCCTGCGGCGCCTCCTTGTTCACCTAGAATCAAATCCAGACCCCAAGGCCCCTGCTTGGCCTTATCCCTCCACCTGCGCCTTGTGGTGGTCTTGCCCTTTAGGGTCTGTTCACTGGCTGTGCCCATGGGCTTTCGATGGGGTCTTCCTGCTGCACGCGGGGCTTCCACCCACCTACCCACACAGGCAGCTTGTCTTCCTCCAGGTGTAGACTCCGGGAGGCCCTGCAGGATAATCTTCTCTGTGTCCTGTGACACACACCACAGAGCTGACCAGCACAGGGGAGGCCCACCTGCAGGGGGAGGGAGGCTTCCCGGCACTGGCCGAATTAACCTCCTGAGAGGTAGTGAGCACTCCATTACTGCACATATCCAAGATGAGGCCAAATTATCACCATCAGGAAAGCCAGTCAGCATGTCTCTGTGGTTGGGAGAGGCTTTCTAAGGCCCTGCTGAACTCCAAGAGGCAACAAGAAGCCTAACGTTTTCTGAACAGAAAAGCATAACTCCAGCACCCTCTGGAGCCCCTCCCACCACACACCATCCCCAGTGGGTGCATGACCTCAAACGGCACCACTGCGTGGGGGCTGAGTACCAAGAGTTGTGGTGATCTGCCCAGTGTTGAGATCCACTTTCTTAGTTCAATACTGTCACCCACATTGCTCCCCACAAGAGAAGTTAAGAGGTTGCTCTTTTTTTCTTTCTTTCTTTTCTTTTTTTTTTTTTTTTTTTGAGACGGAGTTTCGCTCTTGTTACCCAGGCTGGAGTGCAATGGCGCGATCTCGGCTCACCGCAACCTCCGCCTCCTGGGCTCAGGCAATTCTCCTGCCTCAGCCTCCTAAGTAGCTGGGATTACAGGCACCGCGCCACCACGCCCAGCTAGTTTTCTGTATTTTTAGTAGAGACGGGGTTTCACCATGTTGACCAGGATGGTCTCGATCTCTTGACCTCATGATCCACCCGCCTCGGCCTCCCAAAGTGCTGGGATTACAGGCTTGAGCCACCGCGCCCGGCCGTTCTTTCTTTCTTTCTTTTTTTTTTTTTTTTGAGACAGAGTCTCACTCTGTCACCCAGGCTGGAGTGCAATGGCATGATCTCGGCTCACTGCAACCTCCACTTCCCAGGTTCAAGCGATTCTCCAGCCTCAGCCTCCTGAGTAGCTGGGATTACAGGCCCGTGCCACTGTGCCCAGCTAATTTTTGTATTTTTAGTAGAGATGGGGTTTCAGCATTTTGGCCAGGCTGGTCTCGAACTCCTGACCTTGTGATCCACCCTCCTTGGCCTCCCAAAGTGCTGGGTTTACAGGCATGAGCCACCGCGCCCGGCCAGAGGTTGCTCTTTCTTAAGGCATTCTCATGTATCATTTTCTAAAACCCATTCAGAAAGTTATTTCCGAGCTGAGTTAAAGGCTGTGTGTGCTTGGACTCCTTAGCTTTTCCTAAGGGGATGCTCAGCTTGGACTGGGAGCATGCTCAGCTGCTGGGGTGTTAGGGACCCCAGGCGACGGACCTCCGAAACCCTCCGTAGAAGTGACCTGGGCACCTGCAGCTCATTGAGTCTGTGCTGGCAGAGCTGTGGGGTGAGGTGTCCAGCTTGAGAGGGCTTGGGCAGGACTGTGGGATGACGAGTATACAAGTCAGCTAAGGAAAGGGCCTGGCTTCGCCTTCTCAGCTCTTGAAAACTCACCCCTTGGGCTGGGCGCAGTGGCTCCCGCTTGTAATCCCAGCACTTTCGAAGGCTGAGGCAGGATAATCACTTTGAGCCTAGGAGTTCCACACCAGCCTAGGCAACATAGTGAGACCCTGTCTCTTTTTTTATTTATTTTTATTTTTATTCTTATTTTTAAAGGCAAAGTTTTACCATGTTGGTCAGGCTGGTCTTGAACTCCCGACCTCAGGTGATCCTCCTGCCTTGGCATCCAAAGTGCTTGGATTACAGGCGGGAGCCACCACGAGACACTGTCTCTACCAAAAATAAAAATAAATTAGCCAGGTGTGGTGGCTTGCACCTGTAGTTATAGCTACTCAGGAGGCTGAGGCCAGAGGATTGAGCTCAGGAATTCAAGACTGCAGTGAGCCATGATCACCACTGCACTCCAGCCTGGGTGACAGTGAGAACCTGTCTCAAAAACAAAAACAAACAGACAAAAAAGAGTAGGTGCAGTAGCTAATGCCTGTAATCCTAGCACTTTGGGAGCCCAAGGTGGGAGGAGCACTTCAGCCCAGGATTTCTGAACCAGCCTGGTCAGTATAACAAGACCCACAACTCTACAAAAAATACAAAATGAGGCCAGGCTCATTGGCTCACACCTGTAATCCTGACACTTTGGGAGGCCAAGGTGGGTGGATCACCTGAGGTCGGGAGTTCAAGACCAGCCTGACCAGCATGATGAAACCTCGTCTTTATTTAAAAAAAAAAAAAAAAAAAAGAAAGGAAAAAAAAATTAGGCATGGTGGCACACACCTGTAGTCTCAGCTACTTGGGAGGCTGAGGTAGGATAACTGCTTGAGCCCAACTGGAGGTTGACCCTGTTTCTTTTTTTTTTTGAGGCGGAGTTTCGCTCTTGTTACCCAGGCTGGAGTACAATGGGGTGATCTCGGTTCACCGCAACCTCCACCTCCTGGGTTCAGGCAATTCTCCTGCCTCAGCCTCCTGAGTAGCTGGGATTACAGGCACGCGCCACCATGCCCAGCTAATGTTTTGTATTTTTAGTAGAGACGGGGTTTCACCATGTTGACCGGGATGGTCTCGATCTCTCGACCTCATGATCCACCCGCCTCGGCCTCCCAAAGTGCTGGGATTACAGGCTTGAGCCACTGCGCCCGGCCACCCTGTTTCTTAAAAAACAAAAAGAAGGCCAGGCACAGTGGTTCATGCCTGTAGTCCCAGCACTTTGGGAGGCAGAGTCGGGTGGATCACCTGAGGTCAGGAGTTTGAGACCAGCCTGGCCAAGATGGTGAAACCCCATCTCTACTAAAAATACAAAAGTTAGCCAGGCGTGGTGGTGGGCACCTGTAATCCCAGCTACTTGGGAGCCTGAGACAGGAGAATCATTAGAACCCGGGAGGTAGAGGTTGCAGGAGCGGAGATCACGCCACTGCACTCCAATATGGGTGACAGAGAGAGACTGTGTCAGAAAAAAAACAAGAAAAAAAATTTTTTTGAAAGGGAAAATTGGGGCCAGGCACGGTGGCTCACGCCTGTAATCCCAGCACTTTGGGAGGCCGAGGCGGGTGGATCATGAGGTCAAGAGATCGAGACCATCCTGGTCAACATGGTAGAAACCACATCTTTACTAAAAATACAAAAAATTAGCTGGGCATGGTGGCGCATGCCTGTAATCCCAGCTACTCAGGAGGCTGAGGCAGGAGAATTGCCTGAACCCAGGAGGTGGAGGTTGCGGTCAGCTGAGATCGCGCCATTGCACTCCAGCCTGGGTAATAAGAGTGAAACTCTGTCTCAGAAAAAAAAAGGGAGGCCGAGCGCGGTGGCTCAAGCCTGTAATCCCAGCACTTTGGGAGGCCGAGGCGGGTGGATCACGAGGTCAAGAGATCGAGACCATCTTGGTCAACATGGTGAAACCCCGTCTCTACTAAAAATACAAAAAAAATAGCTGGGCATGGTGGTGCGTGCCTGTAATCCCAGCTACTCAGGAGGCTGAGGCAGGAGAATTGCCTGAACCCAGGAGGCGGAGGTTGCGGTGAGCCGAGATCGCGCCATTGCACTCCAGCCTGGGTAACAAGAGCGAAACTCCGTCTCAAAAAAAAAAAAAAAAAAAAAAAAGAAAAAAAAGGGAAAATTTATCTCTCCATATCCCAGCTCCCTCCGAAGACTCTGGAGTGAACTCTGGTCAGTTAGAACACCAATTTCACTGTGGCAATCATGCCCTCCCAGGCAGCAACTCCCGTTCTCTTAAATCTTAGGATGCTTTTGTAGTCTTAAGTGTTGAGGACCGCAAAAAGCCTTTTTTAAAAAAATATATATGAGTTATATCTATCAATGTTTACTAGGTGTAAAACCAAGGAAATTAGTTGGGTATGGTAGCACAGGCTTGTAGTTCTAGCTACATGGATGCCTGAGCGCAGGAGTTTTGAGACCAGCCTGAGCATCATAACAAGACCCAGTCTCTACAAAACAGTGTGAAAATCAGCCATGTGTGGTGGTACAGGCCTGTAGTCCCAGTTGCTCAGGAGGCTGAGGTGAAATGGTTGCTTGAGCCCAGGAGGTCAAGGCTGCAATGAGCTGTGTTCCCACCACTGCACTCCAGCCTTCGTGACAGAGTGCGACCTTGTCTCAAAAAACATTTTTGAGAGTTAGAGGGGCTGGGCATAGTGGCACAGTGGCTCACGCCTGTAATCCCAGCACTTTGGGAGGCCAAGGTGGGTGTATCACAAGGTCAGGAGTTCAAGACCAGCCTGGCCAATACGGTGAAACCCTGAGTCTACTAAAATACACAGAAAAATTAACCAGACTTAGTGGTGTGTGCCTATAGTCCCAACTACTCAGGAGGCTGAAGCAGGAGAATCATTTGAACCCGGGAAGTGGAGGTTGCAATGAGCTGCGATTGCGCCACTGTACTCCAGCCTGGGTGACAGGGTGAGACTCCATCTTGGAAAAAAAAAAAAAAAAGCAGGGGTTGAGGAAAAGAAAAAAAGAAATAATATAAAAATAGAAAAAAGAAAACTTTAAGAAAATATTTTTAATTGTACGAACCTGAGGAAATTAAAAAATATTCATTACTTCATTGAAAAAATAACATCCTATGTATTAAAATACAACCGTATTTTTCAAAACAAAAATAATTTATTGAGAGGAGTGGCATCTTTTCACACTTCCACAAGCCTTATTAACGTCTGGCCATGCCAGGTGCATTGGCTCACAAAGTAATCTGAGCACTTTGGGAGGCTGAGGCAGGTGGATCTCAAGGTCAGGAGATCGACACCTTCCTGGCTAACATGGTAAAACCCCTTCTCTACTAAAAATACAAAAAATTAGCTGGGTGTCATGGCACGGGCCTGTAGTCCCAGCTGTTCAGGAGGCTGAGACAGGAAAATCGGTTGAACCTGGGAGGTAGAGGTTGCAGTGAGCCGAGATTGCACCACTGCACTCCAGCCTGTGTGACAGAGTGAGACTCTGCCTCAAAATAAAAGAATTAATAAAATGGTCAAATAGAAAACAGCTGGATTTGGCCAGGCGTGGTGGCTCTCGCCTGTAATCCCAGCACTTTGGGAGGCTGAGGCAGGCAGATCACCTGAGGTCAGGAGTTTGAGATCAGCCTGACCAACATGGAACAACCCTGTCTCTACTAAAAAATATAAAATTAGCCGGGCGTGGTGGTGCAGGCCTGTAATCCAAGCTACTCGGGAGGCCGAGGCAGGAGAAACGCTTCAACTGGGGAGGTAGAGGTTGCAGTGAGCCGAAATGGTACCATTGCACTCCAGCCTGGGCAACATGAGTGAAACTCCGTCTCAAAAACAAACAAAAAAACGAGCTGGATTCTCATCAGCACTGCATTCAGCCCACCAGGACAGGGCACACTGCGGCTTCCGGGAGCTACGCTGTACACGAGGGCGAAGATGAGAAGGAGACTCTCGTGTATTGGAAGAGCTTTGACCCCGGGACCACAGGGGTGGCCAGGCCATACCTTGAGAACCACTCCCTGGATGTGCCTTCTCCAAACCAAGCTCCCACCCTGGTCTTACTCCGGGTGACTGGTGACCAGGAGCAGGGACCTGTGCAGGCCGGCTTAGGGGAAAAGGGCAAGACCCTCATGGAACACTGAGCAGGGCACAGCCTGGCCTGGGAGGCCTCCTTGCCCTGAGTGTCAGCTCCGTTGGTCCTCTCACCTTGGTCTGGCTAACCCCGGGTGGCTGACCTCTGGCTTAGCAGTCAGCCCTAGGTTGTACCTGGACCCCAGGGCCACTCCCAAAGAGGGTGAACCTGTGAATGTGGATTTCCCTGGTCAGATATGCTGAGGGACCCCTGGGAATGGGCATGGAGCCCAGAGACCACAAGCGCCTGTGACCGGCAGACCAGATGCAGAGCCTTCAGCTTAGGCAGAGGGTACCTGCCTTTCCTCGGCTCTCAATGCAGACACATGAAGGCTCAGCCTGAGTGGCCGAGTGGCCCTGCCCCTCACAGAGCTATCCCGAGGCCCTCCTGTGGGTCCAGCCTACCCCCACCTCCCCATCATCCTCCTCCTTCTGACCCCTGCTTGGTGCCTATTTAGCTCCCCTCCACCCACCTGTTTAGTAGACCTCACAGACCTCTTCATACGTGCAGCACTGTATGTGGGGAGGGTCTGTTTCGTGCCAGGTGCTGGGAGGCAGAGGGAACCAGGACAAGGTCACTGCCTTAAGGAGACTTACTGTGCATTGGAAGAGACAAATCAGGACCACAGCAGCAAGCCCAGACCAAACAAAAGGGCAGAGCTTTTTTTTTTTTTTTTTTTTTTGAGAAGGAGTTTCGCTCTTGTTACCCAGGCTGGAGTGCAATGGCGCGATCTCGGCTCACCGCAACCTCTAGGGCAGAGCTATTTTAATAGCAAGCAGTCGTGGTGGCTCGTGCCTGCACTCCCAGCACCTCAGGAGGCTGAGGTGGGAGGATCGCTTAAGTCTAGAAGCTCAAGGCTGCAGTGAGCTGATTGTGCCACTGCCCTCCAGCCTGGTCATGGCGCGAGACCCTTTCTCTCAAAAACACAATGGCAGATGTGTTCATCCAGGGCATGGCATTGTTGGGAGGACCCCAGGGTTCAGCTCCTCACCATCTGGGGGCTCAGGGTACACTCTGGAAGAAGCCACATTACAGCCTAAACCCAACTCTGGACAAGTTGGGCAGATGGGATGAGGAGGGCACAGTGTGCAGAGGTCCTCCCAGCAGGCTTCAGACACAGCTCAGGAGACACCGCAGGGCCCACTGGGAATGGAGCCCCTGGGGGCTCCCTACAGTGAAATTGGACCCACTGGGCTGGTCTCCCAGGCCCGCCTGCCCTACCTGTCTTCCAGGTCATTCAGCCTCTACCTAACATCATGTTCTCCCCAACTGTCCACTCCTGGGGGTGCAGGACTTGCCCAGCCGGGCACTCTCCAGGCACTACAGGTGGGGCACAGGCCCTAGCAGGGGGAGGGTGGGTGAAGACAGCCGAGCAGGACGGGGAGAGAGCCTGACAGGAAGCTCCCATCTGGGGCAGGGGTACTGCCAGGTCTGTGTCTGAGCAAAGGCTAGGGTAGCAGCACTGCCAGGGCCCTCTGGCTTGGGGGGTGGTGAGGGAGGTGGGGGAACAGCCAGGTAGGGCCCTGTGATTGTCCCAGGTGAGGGGGGCCTCTGGGTCCCTGAAACACTGCCCCTCTTTTTTTCTTTTTTGAGATGGAGTCTTGCTCTGTTGCCCATGCTGGAGTGCAGTGACTCCATCTTGGCTCAGTGCAACCTCCGCCTCCTGTGTTCAAGCAATTCTCCTGCCCGGCCTCCCAAGTAGCTGGGATTACAAGCGTGCATCACCATGCCTGGCTAATTTTTGTATTTTTAGTAGAGCCAGGGTTTCACCATGTTGGCCAGGCTGATCTCGAACTCCTGACCTCAAGTGATCAGCTTGCCTCAGCCTCCCAAAGTGCTGGGATTAGAGGCATGAGCCACTGTGCCTGGGCAAAGCTCTGCCCTTCTGATGCTGTGAACAGATGTTGGGCTGATAGGGGATTGGGGGCCCAACTACAGTCTGGGCAAGAGGTGGTTGGGTGGCTGTGAGGACCAGGGGTATGAGAAAGGGATCAGGAAGCCCACCCAGTTGTGCTGGCCTCTTACTGAGAGGGTCCTGGGGAGTAAAGAAGCCTCCAGCTGGGAGGGGAGTTGCCTTTGGCCTGGGGCCTGGGGCCTGGAGGACAGAGAGAGGATCCAGTCAGCAAGAAGCCAGGCATTGTAGCCAGAGAAGGTGGTGTGGGGAGGATGCAGCACACTGATGGAGCAGGGAACTGGGGCGAGCCAGCACCATGGTCACTGACCTGCGCCCCACGGATGCTGCAGCTGCTAGGACAGCCCCAGCCCCATGGATGCCATCGGGGGTGTTGCCTCCATGAGCAGATGGCATCACCAAGTGCTCTGTCTTCCCCTGCAGCTGGTGTACCCAAATGACTTCCGGCTCACAGACAAGGAGGTGAGTCCTGGCCCTCTTGGGAATGGACGTGACCCAGGAGTGAGTCGGCCCTCACTGGGTTTTGTATGTTTCAGAAAAGCAGCATCTGCTACCTGTCCTTTCCCGACTCACACTCAGGTAGGCGACCCCACCTTTCCTGGGGCTGGACATGGAACCAGCTGGGAGTCCCTGTAGCCCAGACCAGGGGCATCACAGCTGCCTGCAGTGCACAGAATGCCGCAGGGTGGGCAGCACCAGCCCCGTGCCCATGCAGCATAGGCGCCCAGGTCCCTGTGTTGCAGCAGGGCAGCCAGGTCCCTAGGTACATGTGGAAGGGGTGTATCTGGGCAGAGGGACCAGCAGTCAGTCTTCTACACCCCACATAGTGGCCACCAGGAGCAGGGCCCCCCTCCCGCTCCCACCCAGGGGCACAGGCATCCTGGTTTTCCGTCTCAAGCAGGTCGAGCCAATCTCCCAGAGAAGTTGAAGGTGCTTCTCTGTGAAAATATATATATATATATATTTTTTTTTGAGATGGAATCTCGCTCTGTTGCCAGGCTGGAGTGCAGTGGCAGTGATCTCAGCTCACTGCAACCTCTGCCTCCTGGGTTCAAGTGATTCTCCTGCTTCAGCCTCCTGAGTAGCTGGGACTACAGGCTCCCTCCACCACACCTGGCTAATTTTTTTGTATATTTAGTAGAGACAGAGTTTCACCATGTTGGCCAGGATGGTCTCGATCTCTTGACCTTGTGATCTGCCCACCTTGACCTCCCAAAGGGCTGGGATTACAGGCATGAGCTACCATACCCAGCCCTTGTGTAAATATATTCTAAGACCCTAGGTGCTGGGCGTACAGGAGTCAGAATAGGAGCCCGTTGGGAAACAGACCCCTTGGGTTGGGCATTCTTTCTGGGGCATTTTATCAGCAGAGTCCAGGCTCACAGAGCCCTTGCCCCAGGTCCCCAGCTCCAGGGCCTGCAGGAGAGGCTCCTGGCTCTGACTCACATGGTGGGGCTGCCCCTTTTCAGGCTGCCTTGGAGACACTCAGTTCAGCTTCCGCATGCGCCAGTGTGGAGGGCAGAGGAGCCCCTGGCATGCCAACGACAGGCACTACCACAGCAGGGCCCCCGTGACGCTGCAGGTAAGCACTGGGCTGCCTCTCTGACCTGCTTCTCCTCCCCTGCTCTCCATGGGCCCTGCCAGGGTCTGGCTGGTGTGAGAAGCCCCTTCAGAGTGCCTGGGCCCTGTGTGGCAGGAGAGGAGCTGGCCAGGCCCCACTGGTCCTGCAGTCCTAGGCACCAGCCCCAACTGAGGATGGGCCAGCTCTTCCAGGGTCTCTCCAGGGTCCTTCGGACTTTTCCTTGGCACCACACATCCGTGGCTGGGCATCTGCTTAGTTGAACAGGGGCCCACGCTGGTCTCCCAGGGCTCCCAGCCTCCGAAGCTCCTCTCCACTATGCCATCTGATTATGGGCTGTATCAGCAGGGGTTTTACACACCTTCTGAGCCCTAGACCTCCCAGCCTGCCTCTGCCTTGGTGGCCAGAGGGCAATGACAGCAGCTCTAGGAGCCGCCTGGTTCTCCAGGCTCCCATCTGCCGCAGTTCCTGCCTATTTCTTGCCACTCGCAGCCCTGGGCCGGGTGGTCTGGGTGGGGCATGGCCTGGCTAACACCTTGCTCCTTCCAGAGGGAGCCAGCACACTACTTTGGCTACGTGTACTTCAGGCAGGTGAAGGACAGCTCTGTGAAGAGGGGCTACTTCCAGAAGGTGAGTCACTGGGCTACCGAGCCGGTGCCTTGGAGAGGCAGGAGCTGGCAGGCAGCAGGAGGGACTGGGGGGCAGGCAAGGGGTCCTGAGCCTCCAGCAGTGTCCACTCCTCCTGCAGCGCCACCTGGGCTGTGTCTAGCTCTCCTTGCGTCCCCCCTGCCCTGTCCTTGCCTGGCAGCACCCGAGGCCCTTCTGTCCTGGTCCAAGGTGTTCCTGCCCCTCCCTGCTGGCTGGTTGGTCATCACACTGTCAGGGTTAGGATAGCCCAGCCTGGAAGCCATACACCGACAGTGAAAGCTGCTCAGTCCCAGGGAGATCATTCCAGAAATCCTGGGCACCATGCATTTCCCCCCAAAGGCCCTAGGGTCCCCCCACCGTTGGCCGCCACCCAGGGAGTTCGGTGTTGGGTTTTCTCCTAATAATCTGGGGTCTGAGGCTGTTGAGGCAGCTGTCCTGTGGAGTTCGGTGTTGGGTTTTCTCCTAATAACCTGGGGTCTGAAGCTGTTCGGGCCAGCTGTCCTGTGGAGCTGGTGGGATGTACTACCCGGGCCAGCTCCAGGTAAGCTTGGCTTCAGGGGTCTCTGTGGGCTCCTGAGTGGCTGAGATGAGGCCTGGTGCTGGGGCCCTCTGACTAGGCCTGTGACCCCACAGTCTTTGGTGCTGGTGTCCCGCCTACCCTTTGTCCGGCTGTTCCAGGCACTGCTAAGCCTGATCGCTCCCGAGTACTTTGATAAACTGGCACCCTGCCTGGAAGCAGGTGAGTGGCCGTCAGGCGTGCCCATCGCAGTCTCATCATCCCAGCTGTGGCCCCTGGTGGGCACGGCAGCAGCCTCTCCTTGGGGAGGAAACTGACGCTAGCTACTGTATCCACAGTGTGCAGCGAGATCGACCAGTGGCCGGTGCCCTTGCCGGGGCAGACCCTGAACCTACCTGTCATGGGTGTTGTCGTACAGGTGAGAGCCCGCTGGCTGGGGAGCAGACTCTGCAGGTGTGTGGGGATGCCTTGCTCCCTCCGGCAACTGCTCCCTCCTTCCCCAGGTGCACATCCCAGCCAGGGTGGACAAGTCCGAGTCCAGTCCTCTGAAGCAGTGTGACCAAGAGGTGGGAGCTGAGGTGGGGGCTGAGCCGAGAGAGCTGGGCTTCACGCGACTTGAGTCCTGCTCCTGGGCTGGATGGTCACATCTGCCTCCCTGGTCCACCCTGTGGGGTTGTGAAACCCAGGCAAAGCCATAGGCTGTGTCTTGGTGTAGGGCTGGACGCTCCCCACCCTCTCCTGTGCTGTGAGACAGGGGCTGCTTGGGGCCCAAGAGGTGCCCGCCTTGCCTTGGCCCTGACCTACCCTCTCCTCTTCTCAGAACCTGCTGCCAGCCCCAATGGTTCTTCCTAGTGTCCATGAGCTGGACCTGTTCAGGTGAGCCCCTTAGGGTGCTGCACACTTCTTTGGGGGAGCTCAGCTGTGTGTGCATATGCGTGTATGTGTGTGTGTGTGTGCATGTGTGTGTGTGCGCGTGTGTGTGTGCATGTGTGTGCAAGTGCATGTGTGTGTGCCTGAGTGTGCGTGTGTGCGTGAGTACACCTGTGTACATGAGTGCCTGCGTATGTATGAGTGCATGTGTGTGCATGTGTGTGCGAATGCATGTTTGTGCACGTGAGTGCATGTGTGCGCTTGTGTGTGCGAATGCATGTTTGTGCACGTGAGTGCATGTGTGTGCAGAAGTGTATGTGTGTGCACGAGTGCATGTGCGCATGTGTGTTCATGTTCATGTGAGTGCATGGGTGCATGTATGTGAGTGTACGTGTGCATACATATGTGCATGTGTATGTATGGCCAATGCCATGTGGGGACTGCCCAAGAGAGGCACTGCTCATCTTGAGTAACCCTTGAGGCAGTTCCGCAAGGAAGAAAGGAGAATTGTGCAGAAGAGGAAGCAAGTGCCCACATGTCTGCAGCCAGCGGAAATGGGCACAGTGGGCAGGAGGTTCTAGAAGACAGGTGTCAAGAAGAGGCTGTCAGGAGAGATTCAGTGCCTGAGGCCACTCTCTCTGCCTCTGGGCGAGTCTGCAAGGGGGCCTGGGCCTTGAGACCATCCTGCTCTGTGCTGGGCCCAGCAGGAGCCAGGGCTGCACTTGGAGTGGGCACAGAGTGACTGCAGGGGTCTGGCCAGATACGCTCCCCAGCCCAGGTCAGCAGCCCCTGTCCTGGCTCTGGGGCTGTTTCAGGACTGCTGGTCCCTCACAGGTTGGTCCAGGTTGAGTCCCCCATTCCTGGGGCCAGGCCTAACACAGGTAAACTATCAGAGCTTGGGGTGGCCATGGCAACCCAAGACACTCTCACATATTCAGAAATCTGTCTTCATCCTGGGGCAGTGTGCCGCGTTCACCAGTGCCTGGGTCTGGGCCAGCCTGGGCAAACGGGTGGGAGAGCAGGACCAGGGCCAGGAGTCTCAGCCCTGCCTGACCTCCCGGATCATCCTGCCCGGCGCCAGGTGCTTCCGGCCTGTGCTGACTCACGTGCAGACACTGTGGGAGCTCATGCTCCTTGGGGAGCCCCTGCTGGTCCTGGCACCCTCGCCCGACGTGTCCTCGGAGATGGTGCTGGCCTTGACCAGGTACCGCCTTGCCTCGGTCCTGGCTGGGGGTGCTGGACCATCTTGGCTGTGCCTGGGCCACCCCTGCCTCACCTGCTCCTGCTGCCCCTGCCCACAGCTGCCTGCAGCCCCTGAGGTTCTGCTGCGACTTCCGTCCTTACTTCACCATCCATGACAGTGAGTTCAAGGAGTTTACCACACGCACGCAGGCCCCGTAAGTGCCGCCTCCACCCTGCTGCCCTCGCCCTCACTCCACCTCCTCGGGCCTCTGTCTCTGCCTCTTCTCTCTCTCTCTCTCGCTCTCTCTCTCTCTCTCTCTAGACCAAACGTGGTCCTGGGAGTTACAAACCCTTTCTTTATCAAAACACTCCAGCACTGGCCCCACATCCTCCGAGTTGGGGAGCCCAAGATGTCAGGTAAGGCTCCTGGGGAGGTGCAGGGAGTGGTGCTGAGAAGCCTCATTGAGTGCGGGACCTCAGAGCCTGTGGGAATGGCCAGAGCTGTGGGCACTGAGGCCTGGCCACCGGCGTGTCTCCTAGGAGACCTGCCTAAGCAAGTCAAACTGAAAAAGCCTTCAAGGTTGAAGACTCTGGACACCAAGCCAGGTCTGTGCTCCCCTAGACCTGGAGCCCCTCCACTGCGGAGAAGCCTGTCTTGTATCTGGCAGGTCTCCCGGGTGGGGCAGCCAGGCCTCCAGGCCACTGAGTCCTAGAAGAGGACTCAGCGGCAGAGCTCAGAATCCTCAGGGGGAGGGGGCGATCTCTTCAGCGGGTCTCTGTCTGGGGTGGGGCAGGTGAGGTTTTTCAGGTGCAGCCAAGGCCATGGGGCTGCAGGCAGATGAGACCCCACCCTGGCTTCTCTGTGGGGTGCAGGAGTGTGGGAGGGAGCCCCTCAAAGGGCAGGGTGCCAGCTGTGCCCTCCCGCCAGGCCTCTACACCGCTTACACAGCCTACCTCCACCGAGACAAGGCGCTGCTCAAACGGCTGCTCAAGGTATGGGCTGGTGTGGTGGGGGCTGGGGATGCAGGGAGCCTGGTGTGGTGTGAGGCACAGTGAGGGCCTCGCCCCCTTCCCTGCAGGGCGTGCAGAAGAAGCGGCCGTCAGATGTGCAGAGCGCCCTGCTGCGGCGGCACCTCCTGGAACTCACACAGAGCTTCATCATCCCCTTGGTGAGGCATGGGGCTGGGGGGCACAGGCCTGGGGGGTATGGGGCTGGAGGGGCACAGGGCTGGGGGGCACGGGGCTGGGGGAGCACGGGGCTTTGGGGCATGGGGCTGGGGGGCACAGGCCTGGGGGGTATGGGGCTGGAGGGGCACAGGGCTGGGGGGCACGGGGCTGGGGGAGCACGGGGCTTTGGGGCATGGGGCTGGGGGGCACAGGCCTGGAGGGCATGGGGCTTTGGGGCATGGGGCTGGGGGGCACGGGGCTGGGGGAGCACAGGGCTTTGGGGCATGGGGCTGGGGGAGCATGGGACTGGGGTAGCACGGGGCTTTGGGGCATGGGGCTGGAGTGCACAGGGCTGGGGGGCACGGGGCTGGGGTGTATGGGTCCACAGGCTCACTCCCCTCCCTTCCCCACCCAGGAGCACTACATGGCCAGCCTCATGCCCCTGCAGAAGAGCATCACGCCTTGGAAGGTGGGGGTTCCAGGGGGGTCCAGGGAGTGCGGGTTCCATCCTCACCCACAGGAGGGAAGGTCTGGAGCAGATGGGGCAGGAGGCCGTGGCTGTGCAGGAGCCATAAGGCTCCAGGCTGTCATGTTTGTGAAACTGGGGGCCGCAGGGCAGGAGGCGGACAGGACCCTTGGAGGGGCTTGGGGCCTGTTCCTGGGAAGGGCTCTCCGGGATCTGTGCCAGGTAGGGTGGGGGCTGGGGGTCTTCAGGTGTGGTGAAGAGTGTGTCTGTGAAGCATGTCGGGTACAGGCCTGTGAGTTCCCACGTGCTGGCCCCCACCCCTTCTCAGACTCCCCCTCAGATCCGCCCCTTCAGCCAGGATGACTTCCTGCGGAGCCTGGAACATGCCGGGCCCCAGCTCACCTGCATCCTCAAGGGCGACTGGCTGGGTCTCTACAGGTGGGTGGACGGTGGGTGCAGGTGGCCTGTGCCCCCCGCCATGGTCCACAGGGTCATCCCATGGCCCCTGCCTGTCACTCCCCACAGGCGGTTTTTCAAGTCCCCCCATTTTGATGGCTGGTACCGGCAGCGGCACAAGGAGATGGCCCTGAAGCTGGAGGCCCTGCACCTTGAGGCTATTTGTGAGGCGGTGAGGGAGGCTGGGGATTGGGGGTGCAGAGCATGGTGGGGTGGGCACAGGCCCAGGGCAGGGGAGGGCCTTGCTGACAGCAGACCCCATCTTACTCTGTAGAACATTGAGACCTGGATGAAAGACAAGTCTGAGGTGGAGGTCGTGGACCTGGTCCTGAAACTTCGTGAGAAGCTGGTAAGATGCCTCCCGGCCTTGTCCCAGTGCCACTGGCCTGGCACGGAGCTTTGCCTGCCCTGACCGCTGCTGCCCTACAGGTGCGGGCTCAGGGCCACCAGCTCCCTGTGAAGGAGGCAACGCTGCAGCGGACCCAGCTGTACATCGAGATGGTCATCGGCTCCCTGCCCAAGGACCTGCAGGCCGTCCTGTGCCCTCCCTAGGACAGAGCCAAGGGCCATGGTCCCAGGAGCCTAGGTCTGCCTGAGCCTCCCTCTCCCCAGTGGCCACGGCACTGGGCCAAGCACGTGCTCCCCTTCCTTGGCCCCCCGCCCAGACTGCAGACTCCCCTTCCTGCACCACCATTGTCTCAGCAGTAAAGGCGACATTTGGAACCACAGCATGACCCTGACCATAGGGATTATGCGCAGGCTGAGCCTTGCCTCCTCCTGGGCCCCACCTGGACTCTGCAGACCGCAGGCTGGGCCGCTGGGCTGGGGCGGGGACAGGCTGGGAGCCCTCACTGATATGGGTGTGTCTACTGTCTGCCCCTCCAGTGCCCATCTGTTGGCCCCCAAACCCCCTGCCCTGTGTGTGGTGCTCCTTTCAGCCCGACAGACTGCCCAGGACAGGAGGGACCCTCTCCCGACACAGCCACCCACCCCTGTCTTGTCTGGGGATGAGAGGGTGCTTTGCACATAGTCATCAACTCAAGAAGGGGAGAGATGGCTTTGCAGTGTTAAGAGTTCTGCCCACCACCCCTAGTGCCCCTCTGGGCCCCCACCTACCTGGCGCTGTGGTTTGTTTGGTGGTAGGGGGTGGGCAGGGGGCCATGTGGGGCCCAGTGCCTCTGCTAGGAGAGCTGGCTCAGCCTGGCCCTCGGAGGGTCCACAGCACCTTCTTGGCTCCCAGTCCTGGAGCCCCCACCAGGTGCCAGCTCCGTGCTCCCTCCTGAGAGGTGGACAGGGTCCCTGTTGTCTGTGTGTGTCCGTCCATCCCCACATGCAGCCAAGGTGCGCTGGACTCTGGCCTGACCCTGCCTCTGGCTGGAGCTGCGTGTCTCCCTTTCCTTGGTAAGAGCCACCTCTGGGTCATGTGCACCCCCATATGATACCTGCAGGCACTGAGCCCTGTGATGTACGGTGCTGACAGCACTGTCAGGGCTCCAGACCGCCAAGCCCCACTCAGCATCACACACTGTGTGCCTGGGGATAGGTCCCCTGACCACTCAGACCCTCACTTCTCATCTGAGAGTTCCAGAGATCCATGCAGTTGCCTGATGGTGCTGGGAGGGCCCGGGCCCACCCATGGAGACTGGGCCTTGTGCCCTGCAAGGCCAGGCTGGTGCTGGCCAGGGGACACAGGGCTGGAGCAGGGACTTTTCATTTTCTTCTGAGGCCCCCATTCAGTGTGACGTACTGTGTGCGTTCTCATTGGTGCTCTCAGACCCCAGCTTCTAGCGAGGCGGTGGACACCCAGGCTTCAGTGCAGGGTGTGACTGAGCCACGAGGACTCTGGGCAGGTGTCAGGCACCAGGTCGTTCTCAGAACTTGGTCCATGTTGACTTGTCCAGCCTGACTACAGCCCAGGACAGCCTGTCCCTGTCCCCATTCGACAGACAAGGACACAGGCAGTGGGGAGGCTGACAAGGGGACTGTTCAGCCCAGATGTCTGGTGCAGGGTCCCAGGACATGGCCACATTAAACAGAGCACGTAGAGGCTGAGGCAGCAAATCCGTTCTGTGGCACTGGCAAGCCGGGGCCCGAGGGTGAGAAAGGTCCTGGCCCCAGATGCAGCTTGGCCTGCCCCTACTGTGGCATGGGGCGGCCTCCCTGCTGAAGGCTTGGTCTCTAGCAGGTCTGCAGAGATGCTGGCACTTCCTGTGTGGCCAGCTGGAATGTGACCTCTGTAAGATGGGACCTGGAGGACAGTGCAGGCCCTGCCGTCAGCTGCCCTCCATCAGCGCCTTCTGCAGAAGTCCCGTGCTCATCCCAGCCCCCTGAGGACCATCACATCAAGGTGTCAGGGCAGCTTGGGAAGAGGACCCACTCTTCTCAACTGTGACCCGATTTGGGGAGTGCACCCCACGTGCCAAGCAGCCTGTGCTTCCCCATACCACAGTCTGGTCTCCCTTGGCTTTCTGAGGGCTGCAGGGGAGGGGTTTCAGGCTGGTCTCTGAGAAGCCCCCAGGGACCCTGGCCACTGTCTGTCCAGAAATGCACAACCAGATTTCCCTGGAGGGTTCTGGTGAGGCCACGTAGCAGGGAGGAAAGCTTGGTGGGCACCAGGCCAGGTGGGAACATTGCACTGGGCAAAAGCCCAGGCTGAGGTAGAGGGTACTGTCCCTCTTCCTCAGGGCCTGTCCCTGCCTGTGCAGAAGAGCCTCAGGGTGGAATGTGGCCTGAGGTACGAAGTGAAGAGGGAGGAAGGTCCAGACTGCTCTACCCCTGGCCAGAGTGCCAGCCCCCACAGGCAAGAGGGCCTGTGCTGGGCAGAACTTAGCTGGCCAGGATGAGGACTGCTGTGGTCACTGAGGCCTCCCGAAGGACGGGGACCACAGGATTTAGAGGGTGGAGAGGGCTAGGAGCAGGCTGGAGTGGGCCTGGGGGCTGAGGGTGCACACAGGGCCTGCTCAGGGACAGGAAGGACAGCTGCTCACCCTAAGCTTCCTGTCGGCTATTTAAAGACTCCCTTTTAGTCTAGAATAGTGGCCTTCCCACGGTTTGGCTATTAAAACGTCCTTTTGTGACACAGTGCTTGTCTTTTAACTTCTTTTTTTGATAAAAAGTTGGCAGCCTTGTCAGACCCTGGTAATTTTGGGGTCCCCTTCAGCGAGGGGGATGGTAGCTGAGATGTGGATTGTGGTTCAAGGCCCAAGGGAATAAGTGGGCAGGAACCAGGCCTGGCTGTTGGAGGGTGGGAGAAGGCAGACGCAGACGAAAGCTCTAAGTCAGACAGGAGGAGGTTGTCAGGATGTGGCCGGGCAGATCCCAGGTCAGGTTGGGGAAGCAGAGGAGGAGGGGATGCCTGGATCAGGGACAAGAGGAAGCCAATGGCAAGGTCCTTCAAGGTCCTTGGTCCCGGCAGGTCTGGGTGGAAGGTGGGCCCCAGGGAGGGGCGCCTCAGGGTGGGAGGGAGGCCGAGGGCTTGGGGAATGCTTCTGTCTCCTGCTCAGCACATCCAGTCCTGGGAGAGCAGTGGGGGCACCCTCCAAGGAATAGCCCTGCAGAGGGTTCTCCATCTCTTCTCAAGTCCAGGGAACACCAGGAGCATTGGGGCCTAGGATGCCAGAAGTGGGGCAGCTCTGTCCCAGAAACCAGAACCCCCAGAAGGAGGTCTAAGTCCACCCACCACCACATCCTGAAGGACCAGTGTGGGGTCCTGGGTGCCGTGTACTGAGGTGCTGCTGGGAGGTCAAGGATGTGCTGGGAGGCGTCTTCAGGTGCCTGGCTTCCCTGGGAAGGTTGAGGGCCTGAGACCCCTGGGAATGGTTTCTCTGGGGAAGTTGAGGGGCTGAGACCCCTGGGAAAGGGCCAAGGTCCAGCAGCCCCCACCTCTCAAGCCCCCACCCCTGAAAGCTGCAGGGGAGTGGCTGGCCTGCTCTCAGTCTTCGGTGAGGATATGGTGCCTTCCCATCTCAACTGGCAGGGACCCTCAGAGATGTTCCTCTAGCTGGGCAGGAGCACTCCCATAACGTCGTCCTCTAGCACCAAGCGCTGGGCTCCCCTCAAGCCTGCAGGGCTCCTTGTGCATGGGTCGGTGGGTGGGGGAGCTCAGGCCAAGGCCTCTTCTGGGACAGCGATGTTTTGGGCAGGGCGCTGCCCTGGAGGAACCTGGGTCTCAAGTGGCAGAAACTGGGTCTGGGGTGGCCGAACCTATCCAACCACGCTGTAGCCACTGGACCAGGGTGGCGTGGGGGGGCGCGCGGGGAGCGCAGGCCCGCCCCTCCCCTCCCTTCCCATTCACCCCTTCCCTCCCCTCCCGTCTCTTTCTCCCCCACTTCCCGTCTCCTACCCTCCCTTCCCGTTCTCATCTGCCCTCCCCTCCCTCTATCCCTCCTCCTCTCCCTCTTCCCTCTCCCCCCCTTCTCCTGTTCTCCCCTCCCTCCCCTCAACACGCTCGTCGGGGGCGGGGCAGGCAGCTCCCGCGCGCTCCGGCCCCTCCTTGGCCACACAAAGGCCCCGTCTCCATGGCAGCAGCGCGGGCCAGAGCGCAGCGCCGAGCGCGGCCCGGGCGCCATCGAGCCTCGGCGGCGGACGTGCAGGTACTGAGCTCGCGGGACAGGGCTGCGGGAAACGTCGCGCTGGGCAGGGGAGGCTTCGCCGTCAGCTCCGCTCCACCCGGGCCTGCCGCGCTCGGGCCTGGGCACCTGCGGCAGCTGCGGCTCCGCGGAGGGTTCCTGGGGCCTGGGCCCCGTCCGTCTGTCTATCCCGCGAGGCCCGGGCCGCTCCTGCCCCACGCCCTTTCCCGTGGGGACTCGGGGGACGGGCCTGGCCGGCGGGGCCTCCGTGTCGCTCTGGAGCCGCATCGGATCCCTCTTCCGCCTCTGCCCCTCACTTTTCAGCCACCGAGCTCCGTGCGCCGAGCGGAGATAGTCCCCGCGGTGCGGGCGCTCCGGACTGGCCCCAGGCTCGGCGGCACCGGCACCTGGCTTTGCCCGAGCTCCCGGGGGCCCGACACGCACCCCTAGGGCCTGCTTGGCGCAGGGGGACCAGGGCAGAGAGCACCCGCACCTGGCGAGACCCAACGGCCTGGGCCTCCTCGCGGTTCCTGGGGTGGCACAGAAAGTCTTAGAAGCGGGGGCGCGGGCCCTGCCTCTCCCCTGCTGATCCTGACCCTCCGAATCCTGCTCTACATGAAGCGGCTGCTGCCCTGCCATTCCCCCCTGGTCGGGCTGTTTGGCAGATCTGGGGAGCGCGACTCCCCCTGTCACCTGGGGGTCTCAGCCTGGGAGCCCTGGAGCTTCCTGTTAGGCCCTTGGCTTCTCTTCTCGAAGCTCCTAGGGAAAGGAAGAAACTGCCCACGGTCTGTGCCCACCGTGGTCTGTGGCAGAGTCAGGGCAGGGGGTGAGGGTGGGCCCCAAAGCCGGTGGATCCCAGGGGCCTGGAGGGCTCCCTGGGCCCCACCTTCCCTGGAGCTCGCCCCACTCCCCCACTTACTGTCTGACTTCAGCCGGTTTGCTTGGAGGCTCCGAAGCCTGTGAGGCTTTAAAGTTGAGCTCCCTCAGGAGCCCTTTGGGGGTGGGAGAGCGAGGCTGCCGGGAAGTGGGGGCTCTCAGCCTGCTCTATGCCCAGATGACCCTGGCACAGAACAGCTGGTGGGAGATGTCCTCCCTTTCCTGTTCAGAGGCGAGGGTCCCCCGGAGGGCAGGGCCAGTGGGCATTTTTTGTGACGAGTCAGCTTTTCGCGTGTTGCACAGAAATCCCCGGAGCCGACCGAGGAGCAAGCAGGTGGGTCTGGCGTGTCTGAGTCCTCCCACGGTACCTATGAGGGACCCACCCGTGTCCCGGGATGTCTGGGAGGCCTGAGGTCTGGCCAGGGGTTCCTTGCCCCAGTAGAGGAGGGAAGTTACTGAGAAAAACAAGGGTTTGGAATGTGAGTCCCCCTCCCCCACCGGCTGCCTGCCAAGAAGGAATTATTTTGGATTATCCAGCCGTGTCCAGCCACCCGAAGCGGGAGGCTGCAGCGTGGGAGACGGATCCACTTCCGGGCCGTGAGTTGAGGGCCCCAGGAGGAGGACAGACAAGTCTGGGCAGCTCTGCCACCTCCTACAGCAGCTGCCCAGCCCAGACTAGGCAGGGAGGAGATGCGTCACCTTTGGGTTGGAGAACACCCCAAGGTTGGCCCCAGCAGGCCCTGCTGAATGAACCTGCAAGTGGGCCCAGGAGCCTCTGGGGGAGGCCATGAGACAGGAGGAGCTCTGGGCCCAGCCAGGGAACCACTCGCCCTGAAAAGCCTCAACTGTGGTCTGAAGGCTTTTGAGGCACCCTCCAGACCCTAGTTCAGTGACGCACCCTGTGCCAGTGACCTGTGCATGCCAGGGAGGTGGCAGGCAAGAACAAAGCTAGGCTGCCAGGGAGGGCACTGGGGTCTTTCTTAGGGGCCCTCCTTTCTCCTCTGACTCCCTGTTCAGCTACTGACTAATGGACCAGCCTCCCTCCAGGCCCCTGTAACAGCCAGCTCTTGCCTACGATTCCCCTTGGATATGGTGCCTGTGAGCCATCTCTCAGGTGGGGAGACTTAGGCCAGAAATGGGTCTGTCTGTGTGAGGAGTGATCTGGGATGCTGTGGGCCCAGGGCTGTGGCCGCCGGGGGCCCTGGGTTCATGCCGTATGTCCCGGGGCACGTGCCCAGCAGCCTGCATGGGGACCACATCAGGAGGTGGAGCCCGCAGCTGGCCCCAAGTGCAGAAAGCCCAGGGGCTTGGCCGGGGCCCAGGGAAGTGGAGCAGAAGAGATTGGATTGGAAGGTGCTGGGGAGGGCCCATATGGCATGGTCTTCCTCCCGCCCCAGGACGTCATCCAGTCTCACCATGTCCTGCCCCCCCGCCTCACCCTGTGCCAGCCAGAACTGATGGTCCACCTGGGAGTATGTGGGCATGGGCAGAGGTACACTGGCTGTGAGAGGCTGTGTCTTCTGGCCCCTCACACCGTGCCATCTCTGAGCTAGGCAGGCACTGGGGTGCCAGGCCTTTGCCACGAGGGCTGCCTTCCCCTGAGCCAGAGTTCTCACTCAGCTCATGCCTCCTCCGTTCCTCTGGCTGCAGCCTGGCCACCCTCCTTGGAAGTTGGGGGTACCTCCTGTGCCCGGAGCCCGCTTTAGATGCCGTTTGGGGATGAGGTGGTGAGCTGCTCAGAATTCACCCAGTGGCCAGCTGGGGGCCCCCAGCCTTGACCTCCCTTCTGTCAGGCAGATCCAGGTTCACTGGGGGAGGGGGATTTGTTGGGGTTAGGGCTGGGCAGAGTCCCTCCCTTAGGGATAGTGGCTGTTTGTGTTTGGGGTGGGGCCGTGGGTGAGGTGGGGCTGGGTCTCTGACTAATTACAGGATGGGGAGGGTGGGTCAGAGCCTATAATTGGGTGGGGGTGCTCGGGCTCTGGGGCCTGGGGAGGGGCAGCTGCCCTAGCTTCCCTCTTTCCGGGCACTGCCAGGTTTCACATCCCCTGACACAGGCCCTTGCTTCTTCCCATACCCCTGGATTGTAAGGACCCTCACCTCTCTGCTGACCAGGGAAGGACCCTGCTCTGTTCTGGGCTTCCCCAGTTACAGGCTTGGCCTCAAACCAGGTCCTAGCACAGCGGCACCCCCCTGGCCTGAAAGCCTCTCTGAAGGCCGAGCGTGTGAAGGGGTTGGCTGGGCCCCTGCGGTCTGGCCCTGAGCACTGGCACCGGCCCTCAGTGGATCCACCCTGCTCAGTGAAATTCATGAACTTGTGACAGTGACTGGCCCCAGGCCCCACTGCAGCCAGGGATGGTGGGCAGGCTGCCCCTGGTGGTACTGCAGGTCTGCCCCACCCCCTGGGGATGTCTGTGTCTCCGGGATGAGCCTGGGGCTGGCCTGGGTGTGGAGCTGGGGGTTCTGTTTCTCCGGGTCCTGCCTCTGCAGCCTGGCTCCTGCAGCGGGTGGCCCCTGAGGCGTCGTGGAGGCCACACCTGAGCTGCCTCATGTCCCAGGCTAGGTGAGGGAGGAGATGGCCCTGGGCTGGATCAGGGCGCCTGGGGGCAGGGCCAGCTCTCTTCCTCAGCCCCCAAGGTC